TCAGAAACATAATTTCTCAATGACTAAAGCTTCCCAAAATAATTTAGCAAGGACAATGACTTCAAAAATGTAAACACACCCCCCCACACACACACACACAAATCTCAACAACAGAGGTATAACTGAAATGCCTTCACCAGAGGTAGAACTGTAAAGTGAAACATAAAATATCCTAAGTTGTATCAATGTACAAAATATGTATGCATATACATCAGCATACATACATATAGTTTTATATTTGTGTACAAAACATCATAAACAAAAATACCCTACACAGTCAACATACAAGACTCTAACAGTGTAAGTTATCTATAGCTAATAGTTGTAGATGCAACTATATGTGTCACTGCCTCCCCCACTGCAGCTCTGTTTGAGAAATCTAACTAGGCGCCTGTAATGCTGACCACACCCAAATGGTGCATATGTGAGGTAGGGATTTTGGCTGGCTTGGACAGGCGTGCACTCTCTTGCTGCTGGCCAGTCACGGGACACAGCTTGGGCGAATCCTTAGAGCTGGAACCTGTGGCAACCTCTTTTTAAGATTACACTTAATAATAAACCCCATTTAACCTGTACTGGGCCTAGTGTATGTCGATTCCCAGGTGCTGTGAGTCTGGCAGTTGCAGCAGTGTAAGAAGCATGGAGCTTTGGGCTGCAGAGGCAGTGCTCAAAGGTGCCCCGGCTGGGTGACACTTACTTTCCCAAATCCCACTTCTGACACCAGAATGTCACAAGGGAATCGATAAAGGCATGGACTCTCAGATTCTCTAGACTGCTGAGGGTTATGAGTCAAGACCCTTCAGAAACGAAACAGAAGCAACCTGGAGAAGTAGCCCCAACACTTGCCTGGTTTCTCTGAGAAAGAAGCCTCAATATTAAAATAAACAGGACAACAGCTAAGACATTCAACAAAACCCACTGAAAAGTAAAGATAAGTACAATACCGAGGTACTGGGAAGGTAATTCTTAGAGTTTAACAGCTAAACTGTATTTTCTAGTTATCAACTGCCCACCTGCCCACCCAACTGCATTTTCTTATCAAGTTGGGCCTGGTGGTGCATAGCTTGATTCTCAGAACTTGGGAGGCAGAGTCAGGCAGATCTGAGTTTGAGGCCAGCCTGCTGTACAGAGTGAGTTCCAGTACAACCAAAGATACAGAGAAACTCTGTCTTAAAAAATAGTACTAATCACTGGAATAATAGGAGTAACACACAAGAGAGACGTTTCTAAGGTAAGAAACAGCACTGCAGAAAAATCTTAGTCCCTGATTAAGGTTGGTTTCATTCTTCTGCCAATAAAAGGCAATGTCTTCATTCTACAATATTCGATGCACAACTTTGAAAGTTTTAAACATCTTCAAGCATGCCAGGAGACAGTTGGAAATGAACAAAGACAGTGGGAATGAACTGAGACTGAGGCATTGGAGCCCTCAGACAAGGACTTTTAGAGAGCTCAAATTACTGTGTCTAAGGAAGCACATGACAAATTATAGAACATCAAACAACTGGACTGTATAATGAGCTTAAAATCTGGCAGCTAAAAATGCAAAAGATAAGATGAACATAGTAGCTGAGCTACCTATGGCACAAACAGGGCAGATGGTGTATAAATAAAGGTAGAAGAAAGGGAAGAAGGCTTAATATGGAGGAGTGTGAGACAGGTCTGGGGTTCTGGGATAAAGCAGTTGCAGTGGTTGGGGTCATAGAAGGTGTGAAGTCAGCATACCATCAAATGCTATTGTTCTGGATCCTATAACTGAAAAGTCATGCTCTTTCCCACCTACGACAGGACAGAGTATCAGGTTGTCAGCTCATGTCTGTCCAATACACGCTTCCAATGTGCAAGGAAGGGTTCTCCTCATCTGCGTGCTGTTTGCAGACCCAGTCTATGCTTTTCTCTTCTTCTCCAGAATCATTTCTTCCCATAGACCTGAGATGTCCATTGTTGGCGTACACTTCTTAGAGGACCTGCAATGCCAGAATAGGTAATGATGCATATATGAAGTGATGAAAGGCCGCAGGCCACAGAAGCAAGATACTCTGTGAGGTGTGTACAGTAGGAATACAAATGACATTTAACTAGGGTCTTATGGTTTCTGCAGTGATACTCTGCAGTGATACATAGAGCTATTCCATCCTCACAGTGAGAAAAGATTTATGCAAAAGAAATGACTTTTTCATGAACATGTGGGGAAAAAGATGCCATTCCTAAATCTGAAGAGATAAGACCCTTAGAGAGAGAGCTAAGAATTGGCACTGAACTGGAGTGGGATGCTATCTCCCCACTGGAAACAATTGGGTCGAAGTTCTAGCCAATGTTTTTCTAAAAGCTCCATCAGTACCTATGTGAGTATAGGACTCATGGGAAAACTGCTATGACAGAAGTTGTGGCATATCTAAGTTTATCATTTAGAAATATCAAAAGGACATTACAGGAAAAATTTAGGTGCTTGGTGTGGGAGTAGGGAGAACAACAAGTATAAAATTGACCCATCTCCCTTGCTGAGTAGGAGCATCTGCAGGAATAAGGACTTGCAAATCCCACTATGATGGAAGAAAGGAATCCCACAAGTACAGGGGCAGGAAGCTTGGAACATCAGACAGGACTAGAACCAAAAGCAAGTTAGCATATAAAAAAGAGAGCACCTATTGCTATCGTCCAGGAAAGGGAGTCTTAAGGGAAATTGAAAACTTTTTCAAAGTAAGTTAAAAGGACTACAATGACAAGACATATTAAACACAGGAAAAGAAGTACTTAAAGGGAAATTGAGCATTAAGTGCTTAGATTAGAGGAAGATATAAAGTCAGCAGCCTATGCCTCCACCTTGAATTAGAAAAGGAACAAACTAAATCTGAAATAAGTGGGAGAAAATAATAAATAAAACAGAAAAGCAATAGAAGAAAGATTATTTTAAAAGTTCAATAAAATTGATCAACCCTTAACCAGGAATACTGAAACAGAACAAGAGAGACATATTACTTATATCAGGAATGACAGCACTCTACTGAGCCTGTAGTCATTAACAGGTGACAAGGATATTGACATTCTGTGAGCATCAATTTTATCATAGATGGCTTGGACCAATTCTTTGGAATGTACAAGCTCCAGGTCACTGAAGGAGAACTATATTACATGAATAGTCCTTGATGGATCAGAGATACTGAAGTAGTGAAACCCTTGCAGAAAAGACCCCCAGCTCAGCAGTTTTCCCTGGTGGGATTTACCAGACAGTTAAGGAAAATAAAATCACAGCAAAGGCAAATTAGCTGCATAAGATGATTAGTCACCACCAAGTAGGATACATCCCAAAGATACAGGGTTGGCAAATAGCTGGTAAGGGATGCTTGTTATTCTCAGAGGTCCCTAGGAAGATGTAAATTAAAACCATAGTGAGAGGTTGCAACATGGGGTCCCCACGAAACTCTCACTTAACCACTAGTAGGCATGCAAAGTGCTAGAGCCAATTGGAAACTGGTTTGCCAGCCCTTTATAATGTTCAATATACATTGGAAACTGGTTTGCCAGCCCTTTATAATGTTCAATATACATTGGAAACTGGTTTGCCAGCCCTTTATAATGTTCAATATACATTGGAAACTGGTTTGCCAGCCCTTTATAATGTTCAATATACATTTACCAAAGTCCAGAAATCCTGATATGTATTTTCCCAGTGCAATGAAGGTGAGATTCACAAGAATAATTGGATGTGAATGTTTACAATGACTGTTCAAAACAACCATGCAAAGACAACACAAATACCTTTCGTGTGAATATATGCACACGCCTTGACACAGATATCAACTTAGCCTTAAGAACTATGATACATTCAATATAGAAGGAACCCACAAGCATTGTCCTGAGTGCAAGCCTCAGACTTGGCAGGTCACTCATCATGTGATGGCATTATATACCTTATGAAGGTAAAACTCGGTGGACAGAATGCAGGACAGTTGCCATTAAAACTGGACAACAGGGCATGGACTCGGCTACAAGAGGCCAGCTAAGGTTGTGTAGATGGGAACCTCTCTTGGCTTTTTGATGGATGAGTTATCACTTCTTGTATTCACCAAATCTTGAGGTAAACATCACCAATGGCCTTCAGCCTCTGCCAAGTTTTCTGTAGAAAGTAAAAATGTCAGAAATGAGCCTTGCTGAGGAAGAAAACTCAAAGAAAAAATGCCCCTAAAGCCCTTTCCAATAGAAATTTGCCTCTCTCCCTTTGCCCTGTGGAAATATGTGGATTTTAAGAACACAGAATTGATGCTTTCAAATGCATACCCAGGACAAGAAATAAAAGAGGTCAAAAGATACACAGCTTTCACTTCTCTGGGAAGCCAGGTCAGTGCTGGGGCTCAGTGTTCCCGAGTCCTGAGCAGGGCCTGGAGGTTGTGAGTCAGGGTCAAGGCCAGGCTCCCCAGACAGTCCCTCTGGCCACACAAACAACATGCGCTGTTCCTTCCTCCTTCAATTGCTTTTCTAATACTTTAAAATCATTTTCCCTCTTATTGTTTGGCAGAGTGCAGGGCTATTATTTTTTATTAAACAGAGCAACATGAGAAAGAACTGGGCTCTCACAGTAGTGCATAAAATAAAAGGTAATTTCAACTTAATCAAGGACATAATGTGCTCTGGGAGAGTGGAGTAATGGAGGCATGGTAGGCTTGGAGAGGTTGGCAGGGTCCGGATGTGAGCAGGGTCTCGCAGGAGCTATGTGACATGGTCTTGTTATGTAACTTTGTGAGCTGTGCCATTCAGAGCTAGAGCAGGCTTCCTCACTGGGCTGCTGAGAGGAGAATCGAATGAAATATGCAAAGCATAAACCAAGGAAGGTACAGAGCAGACCTGATGTGCCTGATGTGCCACTGTGACCACCATCACTGCCTGACTTGCGTCATCATTTGCCCTACCTTACAGGATGTGGTGGTCTCCCAGCATGAGCCTCTCTAGGGCAGGAGTGAGCAGTCAACCCTCACACAGAACTAGTGTTCACTCGCCTTCAGTCTGGAGCTCTTCCTTGTTCACAGGACTCCCTTCGGATGTTTGGAACTCACTGTTTAGAAATTACTTCAGTGGGGAAACTCTGCTGAAGAATTCCATCAAGTTGGACCTTATTGGGCATCTCTGCAAGCTCAGAACTGGAGGAAGACTCAATGTGGCAAGCCAGGGGCAGCTGTTAAGGATTTGAGCCCCATGGTGGGCTCATTACATAGTCCCTATCCATCACTACTTAGCTGTCTTAACTGAGACAAGTTTCCAGACTTCTCTGAGCCTCTTTGTCCTCAGTTATGAGATGGGAATCCTAGGAAGAAAGAAAGGCACAGAATTCAAAATGCTTCCATGAGGTGACATGAGATCTCTATCTAGCTTAGTAGTTAATAGGTCAAAGTTTGAATATTACATCAGTATTTTTGGCATCTGCATTGCTAACACAGTAGGGAAGTACTTTTCTAATACTAAGTCCTACCCAATATGACATTCTTTTACTTCCTGTTGACCAAATATGTCTGGGTGGCTATAGGGTAGGATTAGGGAATGCTCACAGCATGAATCCCTGCTGCGGTTGTGTGATTTACAGAATTTTGTCACATGCATTTTAATTTCCAGCAATAGTGGGAAATTGATTGGCAGGATGAAGGATGTGAACTGACAAGGGCAAAGTGGCCAGGGTACTAACCACTGCAAGACCCTTAGAGCAGGTAGAGGGATTCAGTAGCATAAAAGCTTCAAGAAGCAGGCCCACAGTGTCTGAGGGCGGTGGCAGTCCCTCCCAGGGGAGAGGTTGGAGGCTCTTGCAGATGATCCAGAGTTACCCATGACCTCCTGCTCAATAACTTTGGGATCTTTAAGGCTCCTCCCTACCCCACCCAAAAAGTGCAAAGCAGGAGCTGAACTTCATTTCCCCTAGCTCAGGGTATGAGCACACTCATAGCTCTGGTGCATGGGCAGAGAGAGAAGTGGCAGCCTTCCACAGCTCCAGACAGGGACAGAAGAACAAAGGAAATGCTCACCATGAACCGGATTCCTTTCTAGATCTTGCAGGGAATTGGAGGGAAACCAGGAACAAACTGTATTCCCGGTGGCTTTTTCAGAAATGGAGGTGGGTAAGGAAGGAAGACTTCTAAAATCCCTGGGAAGAAAAGAGGAAAAGTAAACTTCAGCATGAACAATGTTGAACAAGCAATTAACTAGATGGCAGCAGAGGGCACTGGGAGAAAAGATGAAGTGCCAGAAATAAATAAGACCTGGGAAGGAAAATGAAAAACGTTCCCAAGGTAAATGGACTACGATGTGAGACGATGCACAATAAAGAAGCAATTGTTTGTGCAAAAACCCAACGAAGGCATCGCACTCTAGCTTCAAAGTCACCAAGTCACAGGCAATGATGACACATGTTGGCTGTAGCAGCACCTACTATGCATTTCTCTATCCATCTTTGCAGTATACTCAGTGTCCAAGGCTGCCCCTCCCCACTCCCCAAGGCACAAACCTACTCCCCGAGTACCCAGTTTTCTCTTGTTTAATTGGGTACTTTTTCTGAAATCAAGTAGGAGAAAACAAGTAGACACAGAAGACAAGAACTGGTAGAAAAAATCATGAATTTTTTGAGGTGCTCCCTCAAGCCGCTGGATGCAGGTGGTGCCCTCCACAGCAGGCTACTCCCTGCAGACAGGACAGGCTAGGTCTGCCTGCAATTTCACAATGGCCAGACCTGGATTTCCAGATATTCCCCAGAGGATGATGTCTCTCTTGTTCCAAGACTCTGCTTTCCAATCCCCAGGAGTGGAAGATAATAAGCTTCATCCTGAATGTGTTCAGAACAGCAGGATCATGAGAAACCTTACAAGAGAAGCTGTGAGGGAACTACAATATGCCGTTCCCATAGATAATGTCAAGGTTTCATTCTGATCTGAAGTGAGTGGAAATAGCCGAGGGAAATGTTCTGTGTTCCCCATAATCACTAAAAACCAAACCAACAAAAATGGACATCTGTCTTCTGAGGTTTCCTCCTGTCTTCTACCAAGACAGTCAAGTATACAGACAAATCAGCATCCAGCTATCTAATAACACCCTGCTGAATCCTGGAGTCTTTGGCATTTCATGGTGCCCTTGCCTTGGACTTTTAAATGCTTTTAGCTACCTAGGAAATAATGGGTTTAATGGGTTTGTTTGCTGTACTTTTTGTTCCAGTCTGTTGTATATATTATATCTATTTGTTCCAACCAAAAAAACACAAAAACCTCTGCTTTTCACAAGCACATTGGAAGGAACAAAAGCCCCATAAGAGCTCACATCAGAACATAGGCATATGAGGTATATTGGTTGTTCATACAACTATAAGGGTGGAGGAGGCTTACATAGGAGGTGGAGCCCTGGCCAAGGTTTAGAATGCAAGTGAAAGTGGCCAAATAAGAGAGAATGTTATGTAGGCACCATCACCTCAGTGACCTATGTTCTGTCAGAACTGCAGCTATGGTAACAGCAAATACATAGGCAAAGACCAGAAGTAGCTGGCAATACAAGGGGTGCTAGGCATCCAGAAACAATCCAGTCTGGACTGGTGTCCATGTGGATATGTTCAAATCCAAACACAAATAGGCAGAGGAGAACCTTGGAAGGGTTTCACTCATGAGAAGGACCTATGTAATTTTGAAGATACCCTTCTTCTGCAAGACAGATCTGAGTGGGCAGGTCCACGCTAGAAAATAAAGACCCACAGGAGTCGCTGAAGTAGATCCTGGTAAGATAAACTGGTTCCTGGGTCTTGTCAGATGTGATAGGTAGTTGAACAGGAGACACACAAAGACACTGTGAATTGTACCTGGGAAAACACAGACTGTGGGGATAAGAACTGAAATCCTGGCTTTCTGGAGTCAAGCAGACAACTCACTGTGTGTTTGTATTTCTTATTACATGCTACTTGATTAGGTACAAGGCAATCTGAAAGGTAACATACTATATGATTTCAAATGTATGGTATTCTACATGCTTGGCAAAATCCACAGAATGTCTAGCACAAGCAATGAGCTCTATATTGCCCATAATATATCAATACTGGCTGGGAAGTGGAGCAGGTATGTAATCCTAACACTGAGTAGGATCACAGAAGTTATCACTATCCTGGTCTACCTACTAAGTTCCAGATCAGCTAAAGTTACTACATACTAAATAAAGCCTTACTTAAAAAATATATATATATATTCTATTTTACTAATTTGAACCTCTTTTCCAGCCCCCAAAATTTTTTGGGGGGAAAAAGAACATCAAAACAAACCGATTAAAAGATAAACATTTAACAAGTCCAACATAATTGCTAGATTGAATTGGCCATTTCCTGTGATCAGATTGATGGCCTCAATTGTCACACCACATTAGCCCAATTGTCATCAGAGAGACTTCATCCAGAAACTGATGGGAACAGATGCAGACCCTCAGCCAAACATTAGGCAAAGTTTGAAGAATACAGAAGAAGAGGGGAGAAAGGATTGTAGGAGCCAGAAGGCTGGAGGACACTGCAAGAAAACTCAGAATCAACTAGTCTGGGCTTATAGGAACTCATACAGCCTTAAACAACAACTGGCAGGCCTGCATGCCACTCTGTGTATATGTGAGAGTTGTGTAGTTTGGTACTCTTCTGGGACTCTTAACAGAGGGAGCAGGGGCTATCTGACTCTTTTGACTGGCTTTTGGGAGCCTATTCTCCATACTGGATTGCCTTGTCCATCCTTAATACATGGGGAGGTATTTAGTCTTACTGCCACTTGATATGCCATGTTTTATTGATATCCATGGGAAGTCTGACTTTCTGAAGAGAAACGGAGGAATGTGCATGGGGAAATGCAAATCAAAACCATCTTATACTTGTCAGAATGGCTAAAATAAAAAACACCAATAACAGTTTATGCTCGAGAGGATGTGGGGAAAGGGGGACATTCCTCCATTGCTAGTGGGAATGCAAACTTATACAGCCAACTTTAGAAATCAGTATGGGAGTCTCTCAGGAAAATGGGAATTAGTCTACCTCAAGATCTAGCAATTCCACTCTTATGCATATACCCAAAAGATGCATGTCCATACCACAAGTTTATCTGTTCGACTATGTTCATAGCAGCTTTATTTGTAATAGCCAGAACCTGGAAACAACCTAGCTGCCACTCAACCAAAGAATGGATAAAGAAAATGTGGTACATTTACACAATGGAGTACTACTCGGTGGTAAAAAGCATTGGCATCTTGAAATTTGCAAGCAAATGGATGGAACTAGAAGAAACCCATCCTGAGTGAGATAACCCAGACACAGAAAGAAAAACATGGAATGTGCTCACTCATACATGGATATTAGACATAGAGCAAAGGATGACCTGCCTACAATCCACAATGCCAGAGAAGCTAGGAAACAAGGAGGACCCTAAGAGTGACATACATGGACCCCCACAGAGAAGGGGAAAAGGACAATATCGCCTAAGTAAATTGGGAGCACATGGTGGGAGAAAGAGGAGGGGAGAATGGGAGGGGGAAGGAGAACATGAGGGATCTTCCTGAAGGTAGAGTTGGGGGAAAAACAGAGAAGGAGAACAAGGAAAGAGATACCTTAATTGAGGGAGCTGTTATAGGCTCAAAGAGAAAAAATCTGACACTATGGAAATCTCCAGGGAGTCCACAAGGATGACCCAACTAAGAATCGAAGCAATAGTGGAAAGGGTACCTTAAATGCCCTTCTCCTATAATGAGGCTGAAGACTACCTTAAATGCCATCACAGAGCCTTTATCCAGTAGCTGATGGATGCAGAAGCAGAGATTTACTGCCTAAGCACTGGCCAAACTCCTGGAATCCAGTTGTAGAGAGGGAGGAATGGTGAGCAAAGGGGTCAAGAACATGCTGGAGAAATCCACAGAAACAGCTGACCTGAGAAAGTGGGAGCCCATAGACCCTAGTCTGATAGTTGGGGAACCAGCATAAGACTGAACCAGGCACCATAAACATGGTTGTCAGTTGGGTGGGTTTGGCAGTTAATGGGGCCTTTGGCAGTGGAACCAGTATTTGTCCCTAGTGTACAAATAGACTTTGGGAGTCCATCTCCTATGGAGAGATACTCTCTGAGCCTATATAGACAGGAGAGGGCCTAGGTCCTTCCCAAAATGATGTGACAGACTTTGGTGATCACCCATGGGAAGCCTAACCCTCTCTGAAGAGTGGATGGGGGCGTGGGATTTGTGGGTGGATGGGAGGGAGAGGGAACTGACATTAGTATGTAAAGTAAGATTGTTTCTAATTTAAATTAAAATTTTAAATCAAGAGAACTTAAAACAGAATTCTATGAGGAAAATATGACTTCAACACTGCTCTCAGTTACTGAAGGGCCCACCATAGAACATCCTATGGAATCAAATATTTCTTCAACCACAGGCTGCAAACTACCACTTCCCCCTGTCCAACTTCTTTTTTATTTATTTAAGTCGGAAACAAGCTTGCTTCACATGTCAATTCCAGCTCCCTCTCCCCCACTCCTCCCCTGCCCCCCATAGCCCCTCCATCAATCCCCACTCCATTCCCCAGGGAGGGTGAGGCTCTCCATGGGGGATCTCCAGAATCTGTCATTTCATTCAGGGCAGGGCCTAGGCCCTCCCTCAAGTGGCCTAGCTGAGAGAGCATCCCTTACTGTGGGATGGGCATGCAAAGTCCATATGTACGCCAAGGATAAATACTGATCTACTACCCAAAGCCCCCTAGGTTGCCTAGGTCTCCTCATCGACACCCACTTTCAGGGGGTCTGGATTAGTCCCATTCTGGCCTCTTAGCCATCAGTATGGGGTCCATGATCTCCCTCTTATTCAGGTCAGTTGTTTCTCTGGGTTTCACCAGTTCAGTCTTGACCCCTTTGCTCATCACTCCTCCCTCTCTGCAACCAGGTTCCAGCAGTTCAGTTCAGTATTTAGTTGTGGATGTCTGCCTCTGCTTCCATCAGCCACTGGATGGAGGTTCTAGGATGGGATATAAGGTAGTCATCAATCTCATTATCAGGGAGGGGCATTTAAGGTAGTTTCTTCACTATTGCTTAGTTTGCCTGTTGGTGTCATCCTTGTAGATTCTAGAAGTCTCACTAGTGCTAGATCTCTCCTCAAACCTGTAATGGCTCCCTCTATTATGGTGTCTCTATTCCTGTTCTCCTCTATTCTTCCCCTGACTCAACCTTCATGCTCCCCCATGTTCTCTTCTCCTCTCTTTTTCTCCCCCTCTCTTTTTCCTGGCTCCCTCTCCCCTCCCCCCATGCTCCCAATCTGCTCAGGAGATCTTGCCTCATTCCACTTTCTCTGGATTACCATGCATATCTCTCTTAGGGTCCTTCCTGTTTCCCAGTCTCTGAGTGCTCCAGTGGCACAATCGGTTAGTGCACGGTACTTATACGACCCTGTCCAACTTCTAAGCAAATCAAACCCTCAAAATCCATCTGGGAACCCTCCTTGCTGGCCTCCCTGCCTCCTGTTAATGATGTGTCCCAGAATACTTTGGGAATGGCATTGTTATCACAATTTGAGAACAGATGGCAAGAAAAATCAAAGTTTACCTCAGACTCCAGAGACAGTCATATTCTAAATAAGAATGTCATTCTTAACACATCCCTTGAGGCCAGAATGAAGCTGCTTACCAGGAAACCCAAATTAGTCAAAGGACCCAGGCTCAAGAAAATTACCAGAGCAGGGGAGAGGAGAGTAGTGTAGCTGAAGTTATAACTTCAGTTCAGGAGTCCATGTTTGCAGCCTGGGGACAAATTCCTATGAGAGCTGTTCAGCGCAGGACTGAGAATTACCAACTTCTTCCCTCTTTCCACAGAGGCCTTTCTGCTACAAACCTCTGGGTGCAGGTGGTGCTCTTCCACATCAGGCTACTCCCAGCCAGATGTAACTGGAACCACTGTCTTGGTCTGTGGCTGCTATGTCTAAGGTGAGGACAAGTGGCCGTCACCTGAGAAAAGTTATCTACCAAGCAAGTATGATGGAAATCAACCCTGAAAGTTTGGAGAGACTGATCCTGAATGTGGATCTTAGAACAGCCTTTGCATTGGCAAATCTGGAAGGAAGGGTGTAGGGGGAGGCTAAGGATGGAGATGAAGCTAAGACCCTCACTGTTCTGCCAGGGAATGAGGAAGCAGTTGGGGGGGTGACATCATTGACCAGACATCATTGAGGGAGTGGTAGAAGTCAGGTTTCTCACTGGTTTATCTCCCAAGCTCAGATGCAATACTCTAGAGCAGGCTGAGTTTCCTGAGTCTCCAGCCAAAGCCCCTTCAGGGTTGTCAGTGCAGAACCAGTAGTCTTCTTAGACCCCTGCTTAATTCAGCCACCTTGCAGCCTCACTTGCCCTCCTCTTCATCCTAAAGGCGT